TACATTTTGAAGCCGTTTTAGAACCAGCTGTTAACCCGCGTCCCCGCAGGGGGTGCTGAGGCTTTGATGAGCTCTGGCCGGGAAGTGATGCAATTCCTCCTCCGGCCGCCGGGGGCGCTGCGGGAGCCATGTGGGCTGCCGCCTGGCCCTGGGCACGAGCCCTGGTGCTGCTGCTCCCCTGGCCCCGGGGCTCCCGCTGCTGCCTGGGGGGTCCCCGGCTGCTCTGCTGGGCCTGGGCTGCGTCCTGCTGCTCGGGCCACTCCGAGCCGCTCTCCCCGTGAGCGCCCAGCACCCTGCCCGCAGATAGCCCCCGTCTCCAGCCACCCGCTGCCTGCAGCCAGCCCCTGTCTCCAGCCACCCCCTGCACCCCCTGCCCGCAGCCAGCCCCCGTCTCCAGCCACCCCCTGCACCCGCTGCCTGCAGCCAGCCCCGCACCCCCTGCGCCCTGCCTCCAGCCAGCCCCCGCCTCCAGCCACCCCCGCCACATCCCCTGCCCTGCCTCCAGCTGCCCCCGCACCCCCTGCCCTGCCCGCAGCCAGCCCCTGTCTCCAGCCACACCCTGCACCTCCTGCACCCCCTGTCTCCAGCCAACCCCGCACCCTCTGCTCTGCCTGCAGCCAGCCCTGCACCCCCTGCCTCCAGCTAGCCCTGCCCCACGGCCCTGTCTGCAGCTGACCCCACATCCACTGGTGCCCTGCAGTTCTCAGGGCAGTAACCCTGCACATCTGCTTCAATGAGGGGGACAGGGAGCAACTGGGACCCACACATGGTCACACCCTAGGGTGACCAGGGAGCAAGTGTGAAAAATCAGGACGGGGGGGGGGAATAATAGGAGCCTATATAAGAAAAAGAGCCCAAAACCAGGATTGTCCCTATAAAATCGGGACATCTGGTCACCCGAGCACACCCCCAGGGAGTGGCGGGGACCCACACATGTGAAACGGAGCTCATTTCTAGTTCAGGCCCATCTTTTTTAAAAAGAACTTTCGGCAGGGTTAACACACACCCGTATTTTCCCGGACAGGTCAGACTTTTTGGTTCTTAAAGCGCAGTCCAGGAGGAATTTTTAAATTTTAAAAATTCCTCCCGGGAAAATACGGATGTATGATAGCCCTGTTGGTACAAAAAATACATACTGGGGCACATCCCTTAAATCAGAACTTTTTATAGGGAACTGGTTGTTAAGATTTTGGCAGCTCATCACTGCACATAGGGCCATGGTGTAGGAAACAAAAGGAGAAAAAGAAAGTAATGGCCTTAACTTTTTCATAAATGGCCAGGAATTGTGGGCGTCTAATGAGAGGCACCTTAAAGAGAACTGATTTTCAGAAGGTTTGAGCCCCTGCTCTGACAATCCCTTTAAGCTGTCTCTTGTTGGGCACACAAAATCACTAGCTGCTTTTGAAAATCTAGGTCAGTGTTCCAGAGGACATGGACTTGACACAGATGTGAACCTCCCACCTCTTGGCTAGTGCCCAGAGACCCTGACCAAGATTGAGGCCTTAGTGGGCTAGGCGCTGTACGTATCCAGAGTAAAGATAATCCTGCCCCAAAGAGCTCACAGTTCAGATAGACGAGGGATAAAGGTGTCATTTACAATCCCCATTGTACAGCTGGGGAAATGAGGCACAGAAATCAAGTGACATACCAAAAGTCACACGGGATGTCTTTGCCAGAGCTGGGGATCATACACTGATCTCCTGCATCCCTCACCTGCCTTCACCATAAGAGCATCCTTTAGCATCTCTGCTCAACTAGTGAAGCCTGGCTACAGTTAGTCAGCTATGATTCATGGAAGCTGTTTATTGCCTTGGAACTTAAATTTCAATACTGAGGAATGCAAGCCGTGCTGTCAGAGACCCTTGAGTAAGTCAGCATGTTACCAGCCCATCAGACCTGTCAGCATCCTCTGCCTGGAAAGCCATGGAGAGTGGATGTCAAGACAGACTAGAAATCAAAGTCTAGAGCATTGGGGAGAAGGGAAGTACACTGACCACGAGTCACGGCACACCTCCCAGATTGACGTAGTAGGCTAAACATTGTCTCTGATCCCATTAAACTAGTGCTTTGGGCAAATCAAAGAGAAATTAGAAGAGCAGCAGCCTCCTGAAGTCAAGAGGGGGAAATGTGCCAGATTTGGTTCTGCAGATTCTCTTTGTATGTAAAAGAGACAAGGTGGGTGAGGTCACGTGTTTTAAGACCAGCTCTGTTGGAGAGAGAGAGAACCTGCTCTTCAGGTCTCTTGTGCGTTGGTGTGTTAGTGCATTGTGCTGTTGGACTGAATCCCACCCTGGAATTCTCAGCTCAGCAATGTCTCTTTCCTGCCAGGCAGAAGTTCAGTACCCCTAAGAATTCAGACCAGTTAGGCAGGAGGCAAATCACCCCTTTACCCGGGGGACATGCTGACAACTCAGCATGACAAACATCCTTAAAACAGACAGAACTGCTGCACCTGTCCACTTCCACAGCAGGCGCACAGTAACTCAATGGCAGATGGTTAAGAGATTGCAAAGGATACATCCTGTGGAGGATAGGGAAGCTGACCAAAACAATATTAAATATTATTTGTGTTTCATGAAGACCTAGACAGATGAGATCAGAGCTTCATTATGCTAGGTGCTGAACAACAGCAACAACAAAAAATTGCAAGAGACTTTTCCCCAAAGAGTTTTCAGCCTAAACAGAACAGAGAGACAGAGGGAAATTACTTGCCCAAGATCATGCAGCAGGTTGGTGAGAGGTAAAGTACCGTCACAGGTTTAGTTTGGAGGGGATAACCTAAACAGAAAGACAAGGAAAGGGAGAAGGGATGTTGCTGGGAAAAGGGCAGTGAAGGGGACAGAGCAGAGGAAGCGTGAAGCTGAGATGAAGAGACTGGGAGGGAGTTGGTGGGTTGGAGCAAACAGCTAATCAGCATAGGATAGAGAAAGTCCAGTCAAAACTGAATGTCCAGGGGAATCCAGATTTGGCTGATTTTGCTCCTGCTCTGACCAGCTGGAGTCTCTGGCTGGTTCCTGTTTCTGCATCTTTTCACCAAAGCCACATGGTCGTCTACTTCACCAGACTGGTGGGGGTCTTCCTACATGGTTCTAGGCCCAGGGAGTTGCTGCGGGGAAAGGGTTGGCCCTGGCTAGACCTTGTTTTACCTCTCTCCCCAGTGCAGCAGTCTCTGAAGTTCGTTGTTGATAAATGCAAAGGAATGCACTTTGCAGGGAGGGGAAGTATAAACTACTCATAAACCTTACAGCGTTCTAAATTAACAGTATCTGCACAGGAAAGGGACCTGGACATCATTATAGACAGCTCAGCAGAGACTCTGTGCAATGCACAGTGCGATCAAACTACCTAACACACTGTTCACATGCATAAAGTATGTGACGGAGAATAATACAGAGAATTGTCTAATAATGCCTTTATATCAATCAGTGAGATGAGGGGTCGCCTCATCTGGAACACTGTGCAGTATTGAACACCCCACCTCATAAAGGATATTGCAGAACTGGAGTGGCTCAGAGAAGAGCAACAAGAATGATCAGGGACCTGGGAAAACTCTCATTCAAAGTGGGTTGAAAAGATTGGGATTGTTACCTCAGAAAACAGATGAGCAAGAGGGCAAATGATAAAAGCATATAAAATATAGAGTGGTCTAGAGAAGGAAGGTTGGGAGCTTCTGTGTTTATGCAGCTCCTAGCACAATGGTCCTGGGTTATGACTGGAGCTCCGAACACAATTTAATAATAATTTTGAACCTAAAGAAGGTTTCTGAGCAGGTTTAGATTCACTCCTCCCACATCCTTCCTCTTCCAGCCCCATTCAGAACACAGTGATCTTATTACCTTTCATTTCAGCAGCTTTATCTTCCTCAGCCCCTGTAACTACACTCTTGGCCATGTTCAGTTCAGTGATACTATTCTCTGGCTTCTAATGTCTCTAATCCTTGAAACAAACCAAGAGCCATCACAGACTCTAAATGTCCAGGTTTTCTTCCCATTAACAGATATTCTTAGTCCTGTTTGGGGTGGCGGGGAAGCTAGTCCCCTCTAGTAATTTATCTGGTGCTTCCAATGGAGACCAACAACCTGTTTCCCTCCTGGCCTTCAGCTTACACAGTGGATGTTGCAACTACTGCAGTGGTGGAAGAGGTGCAGAGAAGAGCTACTAGATGATCAGGGGACTGGAGGACCTATTGTATGAGACAAGTACTAAAAGGTCTGGGCTTGTTTCGCCTAGCACAGACACGGCCAAGGGGGGATACATTTGTTCTCTATAACTGCATCAAGGGTAAACACCAGGAAGGGTGGAGCTATTTAAGGTTAAGGACAATAGTGGCACAAGAAGAAGTGGGGATAAACTGACCATGAGCAAATTCTGGCTAGAAGTTAGAAGTAGATTTCTAGCCATCAGATGGGTGAGGTTCTGGAACAGCCTCTCAGTAGGAGTTGTGAGGGCAAACACTTAGTTTGTCTGATGAGAGAGCTGGACACATTTATGAGTGGGATTGTATGATGGGGTTGCTTGTGATGATGGGGGCAGGGCTCGGCAGCCCTCAGAGTGTGGCAAGTTTTGTATCCAAAAGATAGCAGTACTACAAAGGCTTAGCAACTCTGGGAAATATAGGCCTCGCTTGCCTGCTGTGCCACAGTCTCTTGTGTGACCTTGGACAAGTGTCATGGGATGGGATTTTCCCAAGTGCCTAGCTCACTTAGGAGCACAGAGCTCATTGGAAGTCAGTGGGATTTACTTTCCTAAATTACTTAAGTGGTTTTGAAAATGTCACCATCATTCTCTCTGGGCCTAACTTTTTTTCCATCCGTAACAAGGGGGTGATAATAACAATAATACATCCCTACTTCGCAGGGGAGTGTTGAGGATAAACTCCATTACTGACTGGGCGAGGCTCAAACAGTGCAGTACAAAGGGCCATATAAGTACTTAGGCAGGAGCCGGACACCTAGCTGTGCATCTCTGGGTTTAATCAGACTCTGGTGTTGTTGCTCCAGGCGAGGATGATGACGATGATGAATGTGGGGAAGAGAAGCTGCCCTCCTGCTTTGATTATGTGATGCACTTTCTGACCGTCTTCTGGAAAGTCCTTTTCGCCTTCGTCCCCCCAACAGACTACTGGAATGGCTGGGCCTGCTTCGTCGTCTCCATCCTAATGATTGGTTTGCTGACGGCTTTCATCGGGGACTTGGCATCCCATTTTGGCTGCACCATTGGCCTGAAGGATTCAGTGACTGCAGTCGTGTTTGTTGCGTTGGGAACTTCAGTGCCAGGTAAAAAAGTAATTTAATTTCCTGACATGATCTCTGCCATCTTCCCCCTGTGCTATGTATTTGGGATTCAGAGGGAACAGGCAGAAATCCAGGTCTGGATGAAGAGCTAACTAATAACACTGACGGAGACCCCAATGGTGTGTTTCCCCTTGTGATGGCTGTGGGTTATTTGAAGTATAGCTTTAGCTTTGAATTTTCAGGCTTTCTAATGTTTTGATAACAACTTGTAACTGATATTTACAGTCTTAACTTCAGCAAACCCAAGGTTTCTTCCTCGGACTAGAATTCTAGTTTCATGGAGTGCAAAAGTAACATGTGTCAATCCACATTTTTGCTTTCTCCACTGCCTGCAGAGTGTTGGGTTTATTTACACCTCATGTAGGTATGACATTAACTGCACTGGGTTGGGTTTTTTAAAATCCCCTTAAAACAAAATGTCCTTAATCCACTCCAGAAATAGTTACTGTGTCTGGCAAGCCTTTCTTTGTTTCTTTTAGATCCCAAAAGATTTTTTCGGCGCCACTAATATTGGTATATAAGTGAATGGAAAACCAGTGAAATGAGAGTAATGTACTTTTGGCTATGCTACTCTTACTGTCATTTTAATCTGTTGGTGCTACTGATAATAAAACATACAGCTCCAATTTCTGCTATCTGGTATATTGCTATAAATTACTCTGGATTTACATGGATCCACAGTGCATATTTCTCTGACACTCCTGATATTTAATTGGCAACCATTAACTGGGACCCATTAACAAAATGCAGAGTGAAACTTGAGGTTTTCATCTGGCATAATAGGAAATTATGTATTGTGTATTTAAATAGTTAGGACCCTTTTGTGAGTCCTTTTTTCAGTGTCTGTCCCACTGTCGCTAAACATCAGCTGCAGTAGAACAAAAACATGAGGAGGTAAAGGGATGGCCTAGAAAATAATATTGAGAATAGTGTCTCACCCTTATGTCAGTCAATGGTACACCCTCACCTGGAGGCTATGTTTGCTGCAGCTCCACCTTGCCTCAAAGGACAGAGCAGGTACAGAGGGGTGAGGAGAGTGGGCAGCAACCTGGGGAGAGCTCCCTATGAAGAGGAGCTTTGAGGAGACAGAGAAAAGGGTACACGACAGAAGTGTAAGGAATCAGTAGCCATATAGAGAAGGCTCACCAAGGACTCCCAGAGTTGTTAGCTGCACTATGCTGTCCATCTCTCCCATATCACAGCCAGATCAGCCTCTACACCTCGTTCATCTCACTCTCCGGTCATGTTCCACAGGACAGGGGCTGCTGGCTGGCTGCTGGGGGTAGGAAGAGAGGTGCTTCCCACTACAGCTCGGGGTTCCCTGTTCCCCTGCAGGGAGCAGAGAGAAGCCTGGCAGGGAAGGAGGGAGCTGCCCAGGACCTGACAGGAACTTTCAGAGAGGACTGGGAAGAGCAGGTGGAATGGAGCCAATAGCACCATGTTCCCTACCTCCTATCAGCTGGTATCACCAGCTCTGTATTTCAACAAATGATGCTATGTGCTAATTAGAAATGGGCCAAGGAGTCTTGTGTCTTGTTTTTGTGAAACCTCATTAGTCAGGTTTTATTTTTTTCCCAACCAAAACGAGGGCTGGATGGGCTCTGAGGTTCATATTATCCAAACCACCAAAGAGGAAGAATGGGTTGGGTGGGATAAAAGATTCCTCTTGTGTCTCATCTCAGTAACAGGTTTGGATCAGCTTTAGTTTTGCAGAACCAGAAATGGGGGAGATGTTGCGCTGCTGTTTATTAATGGGCATAAAGCACCTTGAGACCCTTTTTGAGAAGAGCCTGTTTATGTACCAAGAATGTTACTACTCAGCTGCCTTTCTTTCCTTTCTAGCCTAGTAGCTTTTACATGCCCTTTTTTCACATGCCCTTTAGCAATTCCCTGTCCCTGCATTTTAGTCTCCTGAGGGCTGTAATACTTTAGTCTAATACAGGTTATTGGGCTCCATTCAGGGGTAACTGGGTGGGGGTTTAGCGGCCTGTGCTAGGCAGGAGGTCAGACTAGATGACCTGGCGGTCCCTTCTGGCCTTACACTCTATGACCTCGCTCTCCAAATAACAGATGATGTCAATTACCACCACCCCCACAATCACAATGCCCCAGTAACAACATCAGTGTCACTGACTCTAATTGCACTCCCCCCAGGATCCCTCTCCCAGCATAGTCCAACCCTGCCATCCCAGTTACCCAGCTCCTTACAGAATCCACTGGAACAGCTCATGTGCTAGTCAGTGTGAGGAAGGGTATGTGGACTGGGTCCATTGCATTTAGGCATGGAAAGGGACAGACACACAAGCTATTGATTTGCCATCGAATATGGAAACAAAAAATGGCAAAAGAAAAGGAGGGGTTTAAAAACCAACAAACCTTTGTAGTCAGGCAACAAAGAATTATCTGACACAGCCTCATCAAGACCCACACTGTCCTCTCCATTTCAACAAGCATCCTTTTGAACTGATTGTGTGGATAAAATAAATCCTAGGTTACAAAAAAAGTGGGTTTTTTTGTTTTGTTTTTTTTAATCTTTAATCTTCAATTTTGTGGGAAACTTGGAAACCTGGAAACAAGAATTCCATGTGGTACAATTTTGAGTAGTTCTGCTGATATTGAGGAAAGTAAAGATCAATTTCTTTACAAGTAGTATGTTTCCCTCCTCCTCCGTATCATAGTCTTAATACCACTCCTATGGTATTGCTAAAATTACCATGGGACTATTCTTGTTGAGACAGCTAAAGCAGACACTTGTTAAACTGGGAGAGATTTGAAAGGTATGCGGCATATTTTTAGACTATCTAATAGGGTAGAGAGCTGAAATTTGAGAAGACAATTCAGTACCCTGGAAAGTATTTCAAAGAACTAACTCCTCTTTTCCACAGATTCCAAAATACCTAATATCTCTGTAAGCTTTAAAAAGTTTTCCATGCCCTCAGTTTTTCAGTGTAGAAAATTGCTGTATTTTATTCAAACCCCTGCCAGAGTTGCAATCCCATGTTCTCATTCTGAACTTCTGCTTCTTTAATATTCTCCCTTGATCTCTCACACATTTTTCTGCATTCAGGTCCTTTGTTCTGCATGGAACACCTCTGATGAGACCAGATTCAGCTTTGATCCAGATGAATCAAAATTAGGTGGTTGAGTGTGAATAGCTGTTAGAAGTGTTTCTAGTGAAACATCTGAAGAGTCCTCTAATACCTGTTGTTTGGAGATAGGCCTCGGACTGATTAGACTGCCTCAGAAGCAGTCATGGTTAGCAGAGACTTAGCAAAGGGGCCTGAGAGAGGCAAAGAAGAGACTGTTCTTCATAGCATCGTATTATCAGCTGATATAAGTATTCCTATAGTTCCATACTCCGTGGCGTTCTGTCTTCTTTTAACAGACTGAATCAAACAGGGTGAGCAAGGAAGCCTTCATTAAGGAAATTGGAAGTTACATCCTAAGAACCTGGTTGCTCCAGGATGCCTTGTGTCTCCTGTGTCAAAATGTCTCCACTGTTCCCTCCACCCCTTACTATGGGCTGGGCTTACCAGGCACAATTGACATTCAAGAGAGCATGACCATGACCAAAACCAGTCCAGCTGAGATATATTTTGATCATGCACAGGATCACCAACTCCAAGCATTCAAATATCAGGAGTCAGGCCCCAAAAAATCATGATATTAACTTACAAAAATAGACTGGGGGGCGGGGAGGGTGTTTTATTTGCCGCCTTGTTGTAGAGCATGAAAGGATCACATTTTCAAGCCTTTCACTATAACCACAACAGCTAGAAATTTACTGTATTTTTTTTAAAATGCGAAGACTGTAGGAGCTGGGTCTTCAGGAAAGCCCTAAATATCACAAGACTCGCAATAAAATTGCAAGAGTTGGCAACGCTGCATAAAACCAATGACACGGGTGCTCATACAGGACCCCCCAATGCTAGGGAGCAACCAGGAGTCCCATCAGGTCCCAGAAGGGCTAACAAAACTACATTTATTTTACTGAGCGACAAAACAGAGAATTCCGCTTTTTGTGGGTATGTCTGTTCTTATTTATTTGAAATAACAAGTTCTTTGTGATCCATAGTGCATAATCTAAACATCACTTACAACTTTTCTATGCCTGCAAGGCTCCAGGTGCACACCAGAGGAAAATGGCTGCACTCCACAGCAATGTGGTGGACTCGAGTGCAGGGGGCAAATGCACAGTCCAGTGTCCAATTCAGATGACTTGTAAAGAAAAGCTAAGCCCTTTTTTCTAACCATCATCACTTACATAGAGGCAAAATACAGAACATAAAGTGCCTGGCCTAATAACAGTCTTTCATATATTAAAAACTGCAACTGGCTATTCACAGAACAATGCCTGATCATTTCCATTCTTAATACAAAAATACAGTGCCCTAGTGTTTCTTGAATGTGCCATATCAATTACAATAATCTCATTTCATTGGGCCTGTGGCCACTGTTTGATTAATAGCTAAGTAAGCAAAGTATCAACAGTAGGAATACTTAAACAAAATAGTGCTCATCCCTTTAATGCCACTGCATGGTCCGTTTCCTCCAGTAAAAGCAATTGTTGGGCAAGGTGACTAAATGGGATACGTCACTTCCTGGCCATGAGTTAGTGTCTCAATATTAGGGAAAAAATAAAGTTGGTGGGTAAGTGACAGGGAAGGGGAGGCTGGGGGCTTGGTTTTGTGGTTAAGGCCTTGGTGTAGAATCATAGAAATGTCAGGGTGGAAGGGACCTTGCAAGATCATCAAGTCCAGCCCCTGTGCTGAGACAGGACCAAGCAAACCTGGACGTAAACCCCCTCCCTGACAGGGGTTTGTGCCACCTGTTCTAAAAACCACCAGTGTTTTGAGGAATGCAGTCACTTTCTGCCAAGATTTTCATTGAGCTGAAAACCCTATTTTCCATTGCAAACCAAGTTTTGATAGAAAAATTTCAACCAGCTATATCAGTAAGAAATTTAATCCAGTGCCATGCCTTGAGCTGTTGATGGAACAGTTAAATAGAGGCTTTTTATTGAAACAGGAGATGCCTTACTTGAAAGGCAAAAAAAAATCTGGAGTACACAAAATTATTGAGCTTAGTCAGACTAGACAGGGTCGCCGGGTACTTCAGGGGGAATTTACAAAGCTAGATGTTTGGGCAAGATGGTGTCAAGCAGAAATATAGCATAGCAAGGTACTGCATAGAGGAATAACCATCTGAGCAGCTCATAGTCGGAAGGGTTCTAACTTAATTGCAAGCACGCAGGAAAAATAGATCAGCCTGGCGTAACTGTTCAATGCAAACTTCTGCTCAGTGGTGATCAAAAAGCCAGGAGGATAATAGGCTTTCTTAAGAAAGGGATGGAGAGTGAGGTTGACAAGATTATAAAGCCAATAAATAAACTGATGCCATCACTTTGGGCACCCCATCTCAGAAAGGAGAAAGCAGAAATAGGAAAGGGCCAGAGGAAGGCAAAGGAAATCATTAGAGGCTTGTAAAGACTTTGGGATGAGGAGAGAGTTTTTAAAGATAGGAGTTTTGATCCAGCAAATGGAGCATGCAGAACCCCATAGAAATCAGTGGACAGAAATCCAGCCACCCATGTAGAATAACTTGCAGGATCAGGTCTTAGACCTATTTAGCTTAGGGAAGGAGACTCAGGAGAGACAGGGGAGAGATGTATAAAATTCCATTACAGAAATCCATCATTAAGAGCAAGGTAAGATTGCAAACTGAAGCAGTCAGAACTCAGGGAATGATATCATGAAAAGCAGGCAGTATTGTAGCCTTGTCAGTCTCCGGTATTAGAGAGACAAGGGGGTGAGGTAATGTCTTTTACTGGATCAGCTTCTGTTGGTGAGCGAGACCAGATTTCAAGCTTCCACAGAGCTGGTTTTCAGGTCTGGGAAACATACTCTGGACAGGGCTACACTTAACATGATGTATTGGCGCAGCTGCACCAATGCAGCTGTGCCGCTGTAGTGCTGAAGTGAATGTGCTCCTACGCCAGGGGGCAAACTTCTCCCGTCGACAGATCCCTGAGAAGCAGTAGCCATATCGGTGGGAGAAGCCCTCCGCCAATGAAGTGCCGTCTACCCTGGCGCTTAGGTTGGGGTAACTGCGTCACTTAGGGATGTGCATACGTACTTACATCAAAGTAATTCTGTAGCTTGGACCAGAGTATTGAGTATGTTTCCCAGACCTGAAGAAGTGCTCGTGTAAGCTCGATAGCTTGGCGTGCTCTCCAGCAGAACTCAGTCCATCATGAAAAGTGTCGGCACAGCCTTAATTCTGCCCTCTGACGTATGTGCATTACAATACAGCCTTTCTCCTACAAGACCCCTGGCTGATTCCCTGAGCAGTCAATGTGGCAGGGCTGTGTGGAAAATGCAGAGGCAAGCGTAAGCACAAAGGGCATAGCTATCCCGGTATTGCCTCTTGTACCTTGCCTTTATGCCATCTGATGAAATGTCTTTGTGTCTTTGCTTTGACTTCATCCTTGTGGTTGCAAATCAAATGCACTTATGCACCCATGCAACTGGCTTTTCTATATGATTTCTTTTAGGCATAAGTTGGCAATTGCCATGCTTGCCGCATGTGAGTGAGTACAAATACAAATCCAGTAGCTATACAACTTGTCAAGAGGCAGATTATAGCATTTAGCCACTAGCATTCAGAGCAAATGCATCATAGCTCTGAGACAGGAGGATGCCTTAGCCAGTTCCCGAGCAGGCACGCTCTATATCCATTAGGATGGTGCAGCCTACATCCCTTGTCATGCCCACCTAGCTCCATGGGCCAATGCAGTGAACCAGGACCCAACTCCCTCATTAGGGGGTAGTTTCTGACCCCAGGTACACAAGGGGGAAATTCCAGGGCTTCCTTGGTCATAGGGACTACAATTGTCCCTGGCCTTTGCATGGGCTGTACTGTAGGGAGGGAAGGCACTGGCACAAAGGACAGGCACAGCTAAGTACATAGCATCCCGGGGTGAGGCCCACCAGCCCTGATCCTGCACCACGGAAGTCAGTGGGAGCTATGCCATTAACTTCAAGGAGTGCAGGCTTGGGCCCATTATAAATGTACAACATTGCTGCATAACTGGTGCTTGCTGCTCTTGTAAATAGCTACAGACTACGGCATTCCTTTGGAAGGCACTGGTGTCTGCAGATGAACAGTGCTATGTCAGAGCTAAGCACCCTTAGAATGTATTCATCCTAAATAGGTAACAATCCAGACTTTTTAGTAGGGGCTTCACTACCTTGGGTATTTCATTAGGTTACACATTGAAGTCCATGAAGTCTAAAAGCGTGCCTGCCCTAGACTAAGGGTCTGTCTGGTTTGAGTAGGAACTCCAGGTAATTTGACCTACAGGCTAGGCAGTGCCTCTGCAGGGTGATATGGACAGCATCTCTCCTGCTGCATGCCACAGTGCACTATGTAGAAAGGATAACAGACCACCGGAGGGAGATCATGAAGTCTCCCTTGTGTTATAGTTCACAGAAATGTGGCTAGAGCCGTTCAGATATTTGCAAAACCCTGATGCATGAATGTTCTCACTGCAAAGGCCATCTTTCCTCCTACTAAGTTCAATAGGACTAAATGCAGAGTCACGTACTACTCAACATGAGCAAGAGTGGCAGAGAAATGAACACCATAACATCAAATTTAGCTCAGATCTCTTCCCTAGGCTGGGCTGTTTCTAGAGTCCCTCCCCTAGGACTGCTCAGCACACACCCTAGATCCTCTCTCCATCAGTGTAGAAAAGATTCACCTGCCTCAGTGAGCCAGCAGAACCAACTTATCCCTACCCCATGGGACCATCACTTGCAAGCAGTCTATTACACATCTCTCCAGATCAGTGGTTCTCAATCTGTGGCCCAATCAGCACAGAGCTGTGGCCCATATGACATCCTCAGGGCCGTATAGGCAGTATATATATTGTGTGGATTTGGCCCGCATAACACACAGAGAGTTGCACATGCAACCCACAATGGTAAACAGGTTGAGAACCACTGCTCCAGACAAACCCACATCCAGGGAATGCTGTCTGGTTTGCTGTTGCCCATGAGAGCCAACTCCCAGAGACCCATGCAGCTGCAAAAGACCTGTCATATGTGTGCTACATTATTGTACAGTAATGTTCCAAGATACTATATCCTGTGGAAGCACTTATTACAGCCTTTTGGGAGATGACGGTACATGCTTGTAGCACTTGTTTTGTGTAAGGAGGACGCCATAAGCCAGTGAGTGACTCATATACAATGGAGGTGCCTAGGAGCTAGTTCTGAGGAAAAGAAAAGGCCTGAGGAGGTGGGGAAACTGCCAGCTTCAGGCAAGAGAAAGTGTACCTGGGGGAAGAGGTCAGGAAGTGTTTTGTCAGGGGTCCTCTAACTCTTGCAGGGAGCTTTGGGAGATGGGATCTTGGTCCAGGTCTCCTCAGGGAAAGCTTTTCATTCCAAGGGTTTGGACTTCATCACACAGGGCCTTGACTGTCACTCCAAAGGTGGCTGGATGCTGCCCCATCATACAATCTCTGGGGAGTATGCCTGCACTGCAAGCGAAGGTGTGATTGCACCATGGATGGGCGTGCCTTTTCTAGCTTTACTCTAGTGAGCATGAATAATAAGGGTAGTGTTGATATGGTAGCATGGGCTAGCTGCCTGAGTCCCTGGCAAGCTCGTACTGGGGCAGCTAGCCCATGCTGAAGCTCATGCCACCACACGCACCCTGCTATAGCTAGATTAAAGCTAGCTCAGGTTTGGCCAGCCATGCTACTGTCCCACTTTCACCTGCAGTGGAGATGTACCTTTGATGCCAAGCTGTTATCTTGACCAGCTTGTCAGGAGCTCTGTCCTCCAGTAGGAAAAGACTTGCAACAGCACCAGGGTAGCCCTTTCCAAGGCAACTTATTTTATTGCCACCTGACTGGCTGCTTTTCTTCTCGCTTTGCAGACACCTTTGCCAGCAAAGTGGCGGCTACGCAGGATCAATATGCCGACGCCTCGATTGGGAACGTCACCGGGAGCAATGCTGTGAATGTTTTCCTAGGGATTGGCGTGGCCTGGTCCATCGCTGCCATCTACCACGCAGCAAACGGGGAAGTGTTCTACGTCTCCCCTGGCACCTTGGCTTTCTCCGTCACCCTCTTCACCATTTTTGCTTTTATCAGTGTGGGCGTGCTGCTTTACCGGCGGAGACCAGAGATTGGAGGTGAGCTAGGCGGGCCGCGGACTGCCAAGCTTCTGACATCATCCCTCTTTGTGCTCCTTTGGCTCTTGTACATATTATTCTCATCTCTGGAAGCCTACTGCCACATAAAGGGCTTCTAAAGGAACAATCAGAGATAGTAAATACATCACTAGAGATCTATATGTATCTATATAGAAAGCTATATAGGTATAGCTAGAGATACAACATTGTGTATACCGAACAGAGGAAAAAGAAAAGACATTTGCCATGTTCACTTACCTGCTGATGGAATGCAGCTTGAGCATTCTTTGTACTAGGCAGGAGTAAGAATTCAGCAAGATTCTTAACCAGGGGTTGCAGCATATTAAAGGAGTCACAGATGCAGGGCCATCTTTGCAACTCTACCTACAAGAGTGAATGATATTGACTTTATTGTTCCGCCCACCCAGCCCCCTGGGGAGGATTGATCTGAAATGTAATTTGGGCTTTTCAGTAATGCAGGGGCCAGAATAGCTGTTAAGAAGCCAAGTGGTGGAGGGAAGGCGAGGAATAGGGGACTTCATGACTTTCTTACAAAAGTCTATTTGCCTTCATATATTGAGGACATGCAGATCTGTCTCCACTGAATGAAAACAAGAGTCTGGACTGAAGAAGGAAGTCCAGGGGTTCAAGAGCTTTCTACCAATAGGATGGAAACCCCACTGCTGTTCTTTCTTGGATGCCCCATTTATTATTCAGTTGTTGACATGTTGAGAGTCACAAGAACAGTGCAAGCCATTTCCTTAATTTTTGGCTGTATTATGATCAGCATGCCCTCTCCCCATACCCTGCAAACAAAATCAGCGAGCCCGCCCACCCCACGCCCCCGCTGTGCCTTGCAGGCACCTGTCCAAACCCTTTGTCTCAAGTCCCTGTTTTAGTTCTGACAAAATCTTGTGGGCTTTACTTTCGTTACCGTCTATTTCCTGCCCAGTCCCTAGTGCATTGCTCCTGTCTCATATTCCTGATGGGGAATGCTGTTGTGGTACTTGTAACACTTTGCATGAATGAAGTAACCCATATCTGTATATAGCATTGTATAGCAATAGTCCATTCAGCAGTGTGGATCAGATGCTGAAGAAGAGAGTGAGTTTTCTTTTCACCCAGGTTTGGTTTTTGTTTTGGTTTGGTATTTTTTCTTAATGGGATAACAGGAAGTGGCTAACCCTTTAGCACTCTACACAGGGGTTTTTAAGGAGCAATAACAAAGAACTGTGCAGCTATAAATGCTAAAGAGAAGAATCTGTGCAAAATGCATCATAAAGTCTTAGAGTGAAATCCTGACTCCATTAAGTCAATGGCAAAATTCCCATTGACTTCAGTGGGGCAGGAATTTACCCGTATGGGGTGATCCAGAGCACACTGAAGTCAATGCAAATACTTCCATTGACTTCAGTAGGTTCTGCATCAGGTCCATAAAGATTAACATACTATTTTAAGGGTCAGAGCCTGCCACCCTTGCTCATGGAGCATAGAACTTTGTCCCGTGACTAGTCGCTTTGAACACAAAGGGGTTAAGTACTAGTCAGCCTGGGCATGAGTGGCAGCACCAGCCCCTGAATAAGCAAACCATGCCTGGGTTTTTTTGTAAGCATCAGTTTTTCCCAGTGTGGCTATTTTCCATCTTCTGTGGCTGCAACAGATGTCAGATATCATCGGTGTTTGTGAGCGGCAGCTGTAGAACCCCCGGGCGCCATTTCTGTTCTCCTGCTCACCGTCTCTGAGGGTTAGCTACATCCCTGTGTGTGGACATTAAGCAGAAGCAATCGGCAGGACTTTACAACTGCATTTCAACTAGGGCTACTTGAGGACCGAAGAAGTCAATGGTGGGGTTGGAGGAATGTAACGTCTCCAAGATCTCCAATGGTCAAAGTGTTCTCACCAGATACAGGGTGAATCTTGCGTTGTCCAGCAGTGATTGCATTTAACACTAGGAATTATTGTGGTCGTTATTTATTATCTGTTGTGCACCACAACAATATGCTCGACTCTGTACAATGCACAGGTGGCAAGACTGTCCCCACCCTGGAGACATTGTCATGTCAAAGACAGACATTGTCAGAGGTCCTAGAGGAAGGAGCTACCCTAGCTGATCTGGTTTTCCCTTCATTTTCATCCATTGTATGACCCTTTCATTTTCCATTTTTGTTCCCCAAAGAAGCAATGGCTCTGCAGGAGGGATTGGAACCAGGAGAGGGTGGGGCCTGACACATTGGGATTGAGGGGTCATTCTATGCACACTTGACATCAGGGAAGGAGCTGTAAGAAGAGATTGGAGGGGGAGCCATGGCTGGTATCACTCACAGAGCAAAGGGGTCAGCAGGGGCATAAGGGGGGCTGGAGGTAGGTGGGATCCCAGAACGAGGCCAGGACTGAGTTCAGCAGGGCCTTGAAGCTAAGGACAGGAAGGTTTGAACTCATGATGATGGGCAAGAAGCGCTGCATGGAGGACAAGGCAGAGGATCTGGTTGTGACACTGGTGGGGGCAATATGGGTAGCAGAGAGGAGCAGGTTGCAGGATTCAGTGGGGCCATGGGCACAGGAAGAAGGGGTGAGATGTTGAGAAGCTGTGGCTGTCAGCCTGAGTCATTATTGAGTTTGAACCTGAGGCCCTGAGCCAGCAAAGGGGTCTGCATGGACTCTTGACCCACAGGTTGCAATCTGGGGCGTGGTCACTTAGCAGGAGATTCTGCCCTGCCCTTCCATGAGTTGCACCGTGATGGAGCTGGGCAGTCTCAGGACCTTTCTCCCTCGCTTGGGGTGCCTGAGTCCAGGCCCCGCAGAATTGCTGTCCCTTCACGCAGAGAAGCACAGGAGCACCCCCTCCCCCAGGAGGGCACAGTGCCCCAAAGGGAGCAGGAAAGAGGCAGGTAATGGCTCTGCCCCCTACCCCTGCATGCACCAGGCAGCAGAGTTGTCCGGTGTAGCAATGGACTTGCTACCTCGGTGTGCCTGGGAGAATAGATGCTCCTGGGAGGCAGAGCAGGTCTGCAGGACCCACTTCCTGGGCACTGTGTTCTCCGAAAGCCCTTGTTCCCCAAAGCCCATACCTCCCGGCCCACTTCCACCCCTAACGTTATCATCCCTCAGTATAGAAGTGCCTGGGCAGGGTCAGTCCCAGCCCTTGTGACTGAGTGCACCACATAGCTATGTTCAAGAGCAGGGAAGCATTTCTGCACAGAGCAGATGACAATTTCACGGCTGACGTTCCCACTCTCTGAGAGCCCAATCCTGCTGCATGAGTCACCCCATGGATTTCAGTGGGCCAAGCTGTGTAGCAAGAGGCGACAAGGCATAAGGAAGTGTGGCAGTATTGGTCCCTAAAGGACTGTTTTACCAAGACAAATGAGAAGCAAGAAGAAGTTTGGGGTGACAGCACCATGGTCTTAGCAGCCTTTGTACCTCCCATTTGATTCCCCTAAGCTCAACATAGTAAAGATACTTTGACATGTTCACATTTAAAAACCATGGAAAATAGAAGCACAAGCCAGTGGCTTATAAATAACTGGCTCAAACCCTCAGCTGGTGTGAATTAGCTTCTCTCCATTGACCCCAAGGGAGTGATGTCAATTCACATCTGAGGAGAAGCTTTCCTTGTATAATATGAATGAAATATCTAAAAGAGGAATTGCAGAGATACTACTTTGCATTAGCATTACTAGCTTTTTTTTTTTCCTTTTCCACTCTTTTCCACTCCCTAAATCACAGCCAGCATGTCCCTCGGTAGCATCTTCAGATCCAGCATAAGGGCATGTCTGACATTGGTGTACCCAGTGGGCCGGGGAAGGGGGGAGATTTTGCACTCATTCTGAACAAGCTGTGGAAGGGTTTAATTATCTTGTTGTGTGTTTTCACCTAGGAATAAACTGATTTTTTTTCTTGTAAACTCATTTTTCACTTTAAATGAGAGTGGGTTTTTTTTCTTTTAATTTTTATTCTTGGGGCGGGGGGTAGGGAAGGGAATTAGAGCCTGATTCTTGTTGTTCAGGATTATGATTGCCTTTGTGTACAATGATTTCATTTCATTTGTTTGGGTTCATTAATTTTTATTTGTGTGTATTGTCCACAGTCATAGGCAGCAAGTACACTGATTGTGATGATCCTTATCAATCATGCACAGCCACACAGAAAAATAAAGTTTCTAATTGTTTCTGATGTACACAGTAGTGTGGCTGCATATTCTCTATGGGACATCTCTCCTCTCATTGTCTCTCCTCATTCTTTGTATTTATTGGTTTGCTTCATGTGTATCTTTCATTGACTAGAAAGAACCAGTGAACACCTAAGAAGAGTCAGTTGCAAATGTCAGCTGTTGTAGCCACAGAGGCAAACACTATTCTGAACTTAATGCAGCATCTGCTCAAAGATGTAGCCATGCTTTTCCATGCCATGCCCCATTTCATCTCTTGTTTCCCATCTTCCTTTCCCATGGCTGCAGCATGCGGCCAGTTCAGTGTGCTATCACCCCTATGCATTTGGAAATCTATTCTCTGATGACATGCAAGGGATTTAGGTAACTCCCAGTAGAGACCATCAGAGTTATGCATGGAAATCTCCCGAGCATTAAGAGACCATTAGACTCTTTAAGGTTACATACTGCCCTTTATCTGTGCTAGGCCTACCATCAATGGGGTTGCATATATGCCTCAAGGGCAATATATGGCCCTTAGGATATGGCTGCACATAAACCGCTGCAGCTGACCACCGCCACTGTGGTGCTTCAATGAAGACGATATCAAGGCCAACAGGAGAGCTTCTCCTGTCCACGTAGGTACTCCACCTTCCCAAGAGGTGGCAGCTAGGTCGATGGGAGACTTCGGCTATCTACAGCAGGGGTTAGATCAGACTAACTGCAGCACTCGGGTGTGGATTTTTTTTTCACACTCCTGTGCAACACAGTGATACTGACCTAATTTCCTAATGTAGACCAGCCCTTAGTATTGCCATCTTTCATTTACGCAGGCCCTATTCCTGCTCTCATG